ATTATAATATAATTGGAGTTGTGTATTATTTAATATATATAATATATTTTTAATTATAACTAATGTGATGTTAAAATAAATTAAACATTGTTTAACAAATTGATGATTAATATTATCATATATTTTAGAAATATCATATTATGTTTCTACCAACTTCAATTTATCATTAATTAATAACTGAATGACTATAGTATTATATAATCATTCTTTTGATACATATGTGTATGTTTTACATCAAATTTGATTTTATGATAATTGTTTTTCAACTTGATTTAACATCAATTGATTTCTATTTTCTTCTTTGATAAAGATGTATATACTTTTAACATACAATTTAAACAAGTTATTGGTCTGTAATTTTGTTTATATAATTTATCTCCTTTCTTATAAATTAATATTATCCTTCATTTGATAAATTGAATATAGGTATCATTATGATTATACAATATTTCATTAAATAATTTTAATAAGAAATTGTTTGGTTGTTCTAAATATTTAATCCAGATGATTGTATTTTATCAATTCCATGTGATTTCCAATTAGCAATGAATTTTATTACATGATTTAATTCATCTAGAGTGATTACGCACCTTCTATTATTAATTATATTTTCAATTAATATGTAATATAAATTAATATTTATGAAATCTATATTGGTGTTATTTTCATATATTCCTTTCAAGAAATTAATTGTATTAATATTATCTGGATATTCACATTTACGTTTTACTTTTGTTTTTCTTTTATGGTAAAATACCATCTTCTTATTAGTGTTGATTGTGTATATTATTTATATCTTTTATTCTTGATTTATTTTATTTTGTTTGTATGTATTTTAACTTTTCTTTTAGTGTTTAGAGAAATAGTTTTATATTTCAATTATTTCATTTCTTTTGTTTCTTGAATGTCTTGTTCTTCTTAGTTTATTTTGATATTGGTTATATCATCTTTGTTTCATTATGAAATTCATTTCTATTACGACAATCTGTATTATTTCTATTTCAAATGATAAGTAACTATAATGAAACTGTTTGATTTGATAAATGAATATATCTTATATCATATAACTGTAGTTGTTATTATGCTTCTAGCACCTAGCCAATACTTATTCATATTTATTTTTAAACTACTTAGATTTCATATCATTATAAATTTTTTTTCTTAATTTTTTTTTATTTTTTTTTCCCATTAATAGAATTTTTAAGGGAAAACTAAAAAGAAAGAAGAAATATAAGAAGAAAAGAATGCAAAGTACACCAAATGAAGAAGCATGGGAAAGTAAATTTAGTGCATTACCATTTTTTAGTGATGAAGAACAAATTAAACAAGGGAGAGAATTATATAAAAGATATTTAGAAGAATATCCAACAGCAGTGAATAGATGGTGTGAATATATTGATTTAGAAATGAAATATGGACATAATGAGAGAGAAATAGAAGAAATATTCAGAAAATGTTTAGTTCAAGTACCAGATGTAGAGATAGCAAAAAGATATATTAAATATATTAATACATGTTATGATGATACAGAAAGGGAAGATATTGATGATATTGAATTAGCAAGATTTAAGAAAATTCAAGAAGGAGCATATTCATATGCAATCAAAATAGTTGGACTTGATTTAAATGCAATAACAATATATCGAGAATTTATAGAATTTTTATCAAAAAGTAGAAGTAATGAAGTTACAATGAAAATAATAATGCATAATTTAACAAGAATACCAATGAATGAACGACAAGA